TAATCCCAAACCTGACCAGCTCTTTTTCACAAATCAGGAATACATATTATTTATTAATATTTTAAAAAAAAGCAACATAACTAGGTCTCAATAGCTGTAATAAATAAAATTGAACTACTGCATTCAAAACCATATTGAAAACCTCAACTAAATTTAGCTAGCTTCAGTGAACTCTGCAGACATCTTCAGGCACACATAGCCCATACTGGCAGAAGGCATATACTTTGTACTAAGAAATTATTTCATAATCAAGCTAATGAATAGCCCAAGTCTGTTTCTACTGTCTACAGAAATATTTATGTCCTACAATATCCATCAGTAATTATTCACAGTAGAACCCATAAGGCCATCCAGGTACCTTAAGCACAAACAGATTTTATTTGGCAATTTGAAACAAACAAAAATCCTAAAAAGTAGTGACTAGATTTTATATATATGCAGTATGTATATTGGATATGCGTATATTGTATAAAGCTGTGTTTCCATATGCTCAGATTTGGGAAGGTAATTTGTTTTACAGCAATGCCATAACGAATACTGTACTAAACAAGAGGGGGAGGGGGGAAGGGGGGAAGGAAAAAAAGGACATACTTCTCTGTTTTAAAGCTGTGAGTATTTGTTTCTTTGTTCCTAAACTAAACTCTGCCTACTCTTTACTGCTCGTGTCTGAAATGACACTCAGTCGAGAATTCCTGTGTTAGCAACCTTCCTTCTTTAGAAGGAACACACCCATTCTTAACCAAAGTTGTACGTAACAACACATCAGTCCCTGCCCCCCTTCCTAATTATATTCATTATCTCTACATTTCCTTTAATAATTTAAGTCTGTGAAAGTTACCTAAACAAGCTGAAAACTGTCTCCAACCAAACCATATCTCTTTGTGGGTTAAATCATCAAAGACAAGCAGAGAATGGAAATCATTTTAGGCCACAAAGTTGCACAGATTTGTTTATGTGCTAACCTGAAACTCTGTTAATAGTCCTGTTGACTTCAGAGGCATTACTTATAGTCCACGAAGTTGAGCAATCTGCGTAAGTGATTGCAAAATTGAAACCTTAGATAGACTGTAATTGGATTTTGAAAAAGGCTCAGAAACTGAATACACAGCTATAAATCACACGTCCTTGAAGAGTTATATATCACCAAAAAAAATGTTTGAAATATAATTATTTTTCTTAGTAGCCCAGCTGTATGAGGACTAATTAATGAATAAAATTAACTTCAAATTATTACAGATCATTTAATGTAAAGTCCCTGAAGCACGTCGTATAAGTCAAAAGATATGAATCTTTAACAGAACACTTTTATTTACATTCTTGTTACAACTCCAGCTACTATAAGGGAATTACCTGCATGACCCAGTGAAAGGAAGTTTATCAAATATTAGAGCCAGGTGAAGATCAAAGATATATATCACAAATGTGCCCAATAATTAGAAAAGAAAAATAAAGGATGAGTGCATTTATTTAATACCACCCATATCATGCTAGATATTTGGAGAGAACACATACTTTGTTTTAATTAGCTGTCTTTTTCACTGGATTCCTTGACCAAAGCCTCCTGATAAGGGTAAATAATGTGGCCATTGGTCAAAATGCTTGTAACAAATCTTGTTTTAAATTGAAGCTATTTATTCAGTAAACAATCTGCTACTACTGCAGTAATCAATGTGTTTTCCCTTGGAGTAGAACTGCTCCTGTACTACTGGAGGACTATTGTTAATTGCCTGTAACTAAATGATTGCTGTGCTTCTGGATGTAACTTTCTGGCAACTCGTTTTTTGTGTTTAACAGAATGCCTGTCCCCCTAAGGGCTAGCCAAGTAATTTTCCTCTACTATTTTCTACATTCAGTCTCATCTCCTTAAGGAGGGCTAGGTCTGTAATTTGAGCAACACAACACAGAGGCTAAATAGATTTTAAAAGGTTTGCATTTTTTGTCTCTCCCTTCTGATGTGGAATTGTGCTGAAATTGAATCTTTTTAGTATGTAGCCACTACTGCAAACTTGAATTTCAGCAGGAAAAACAGATCGCACTTCAAAGGGAGTATAGTGTCTGCTGCAGCAACTGTGTGCTCAAATCACAATGAAAAAGCAGACGAAAGCAGCAGAAAAAAATGTTATTGTGAAGATAACCATACACTCTAACCTTGCTGCTACACTTAACTCTGCTTTAACAGTCACTACATCACTGCTGAAACTGTTGACATACACATCACCAACACCCTTGGCATTCACAAAGCACCTTTCAGGAATATCCTCTCCTAGGAAGGAGCCAGAGCACCCTCCCCAATTCACATTGGTAAAACCGAGGCAAAGAAATGTGAAATAGCTTCAGTCACCTGAGGGGCCAACAGAAGAGGCAGGACTGAGCCTTCTGCTTCTCACACCTTGAGTTCAGCTCATCATGGGGTAACACTGTTCTCTGGGGCAGCTTAGAGCCAGCAAGTGGCCCCTTAGGGCACAGTTTAGCATCCTGCAGAAACACAATCTCAAGGCCTGAAAACAATCAACTTAGCATGACACTGTGCCCTAGCCAATCCATTCTGCCTTCTACAGTGCTGCAGAGATGTAGCTGTCCCACTTCCAGCACTTTGGGGGTTGGCTCAGGCATCTGCAGGGCTGGGTGTAAGGATGCAGCAATCTGCTGGGTTAGCCACTGCCCTCTCTGCCTCCAAACCCTGACAAACAGCACCCAAGACAGGGAACGAACACGTGCTGAAAGATGTTGTCCAGCATGAAAGAAAAAAATAGCTTGCTATGTTAGATCAATAGACCATGAAACCTACTTTGCAGACAAATCTGTTTAAGAAAGAACCACCTTATCCTTGTACTCAGAAGCAATCACAATTGTCTCAGCAGCAACACATGGAAAGGTAATTGCTAGTACATTTCAGGCTGAGTTCAAGAATTTTGTTGTTTGCTTTGATTGCCTAATTAAGGACAACTTCATGTGGCTTCACATAAATTTTACTGAAAGAAAAATATAGGCATAATCTTTTTTTATGAGAGAAGAGATAACTAAGAGGACTGATGGCAAAAGTGATGCAGTGCATTAGTCTGATTTCATGCACAGTGACAGACAGCAGATGACTACTGGCAGGTTTTTTTTATTTTTTCATTTAATCTCAAAATCGTTAGTTTAGGAAAAACTTCCATTTTCCAGTTGTAAAGTTTTTCTTTTCCTTTAATGAGTCATAACAGCAGGCACATAAATAGAGTATTTTGTGCCTAGCAACCTGAAATATTAAGGCCTTTTTTCTAGTTACCATTGAACAGCTGCATCACCTGTAGTACAAAATGATAAACAGAGTATAGTAAGTCAGTGCAGAGTAATTTCCATTTCCATTTATATTCTAAAATATTGTATTACTTGTCTATGCAAACAATTTTTTGAGAGTGTTTTTAATAACATTCCCCTCTCTGGAGCAGAAAAGTATTGGAAGTCTGAAATAACCATGTCAGTCTTAAAAATATCTAACACAAAGGAGTTTCCAGCACAGTTTTGGAGAGAATGACATGGAATATAAATGCCTTTTTATTTTATTTTATTACATTTTTAGTGTCTTCTAGAGAGTAATGAAATCTTCTTACAGTTGCCTCAAAATAATGAAAAAAAAAGGTGTGTGACTTTCAGTACATGCTGTCAAAATAAATGGAATTGTCACTTTTTCCTCTAACCTTTTATTTATCATATCTGCACGACCACGCACACATTAAAAAAAAAAAAAAAAAAAAAAAAAAAAAAAAGGATTAGTTCTGGGCTATCCTGTTTCACTCAGACAGAAACTGCCCACTGGAAGAGGATACTACGAAAATAACACAGAACTGATCTTGCTCAGGGCAGATTTTTTTTATGAAGTACACTCTGTATCTTAGATTTACAAGATTTGAATTTTTTTAATTCCTCAAAACTGAGTGATTTGGAAAAGTATGGAAAGTCTTAACATTTTTCCACCTATTGCTCATTTCAAATTAAAAAACTGTTTATAACTCTCCTCCTCCTCCCACCCTCCTTTTTTTAACATTGCCAATTTTCAGCCAATGAGCAAATGAAAAGTATCAGCAAGATGGAAACCACGTAGCTCTGTGAGCTTCCCTGAGTGTGCAACACTTAAAACCAGGGGAGATGAAAGTCCATGATGGCATATTACTTCTGCCTTGATAAGTGGCTCCATTACTGGTGGTAGACAGTTTTTGACCCCATTTGACCAGAGTCCCCAACCTCAGGAACAGAGCTACATGGCGGTGACTTCAATCCATCATGTGAACCGACTGCAGCAAAGACACCAGTGGGTTAGGCTGAATGGGAATGTCGGAACAGAAAACTCAGGATGGTTTGCTGTGAATAGACATAAGCTAAGCCCACTGGGGGAAAGGTGAGAGTAAGGATGAACTGCAGATCTCTGGGAAACTGTATTAAAGAAATGAACATACAACTGGGATGTGGAGAGGTAGGGTTCCTTGGATAATTTGTTTTCATATCTCTTGTGTTTTTTTAGTTTTAATTTGTTTATATTTATTCAGGGAAAAATAGTCAAAGCCTTAGTGTGGTCTTGTCCAGTAGACTTAAAATTCGCCGTATTTCTATGTGGAATAGGGGAGAAGCTGTTTCTGCATTACAGTCCCCAAAAAGGAAACATTCACCACTGCTTCCATTGTAAGTCAAACATCAACATTTATCTGTGTAAAGCAAACTGTGACCTATCTACAGAGAGAGAATAGGAAGAGTTATCAAACATATCATCTATATACACACACAGACATGCCCAGCAATTTTTCTTTTTCAAATGAGCAATTCATATGGTGTATCAGAGAAAAAACAGTTTATTGAAGAAAAGCCAAAAAACCCCCACATTATTATGTGTTTCTTGAAGAGCCCTATAATGAAATAAATTCATAAATGATAAATTTTATTTTAATGTTTAACAGAATTGCAAGGTCTGCTACTAATCTGTGGTTTGGAATGTGGTTGTTACTGCGTTTTGTAATTCTTTGCAGAGCTGATGTACACAGTTGAGCTTGCTGGTGGGCTTGGTGCTATTCTGCTGCTGCTTGTTTGTTTAGTGACTATCTACAAGTGTTACAAGATAGAGATTATGCTCTTCTACAGGAATCATTTTGGAGCTGAAGAACTAGATGGAGGTAAGGCAGCTTCTTAGTATATTTTCTACTTTCTAAGAATTCCTGTCGTTTATTTCTCTCCACCAAGGTGCAGATTTCATTTCAGTTCAAGGTGTGGTAACAACTGCAATTTTTATTTTTCACTGACTTGGGCACCGACTTGAATACACTTTCTTCGTATGGCACATAAGCTCAGTAAGTGCTGAGCTGTACATGCTGCTCTCCAGAGCTCCAGAAAACGTCCATGTCTTTTCAATTCTTATTTCCAACACTGAATGTCAACTACCAACATTGATGCATTAAAGATTTTTACTTTCTGTCAGTACTGAAAACCAGCTTCACTTCTACGTGAGCTAGGGAGTGTCCTCCCTAATTGTATTCAACAAATAGGTAGAGGTTGAAGTGAATCTCAATTTACTGCTTGTTTAAACTGATTAGTTTCAATAAACTGTGCTGAGTGTTTGGGAATGTATCCAGCAGTTCACATTCTTGAGTTCATTTACTTAATCACTGAAAGAGCTGCTAATGGTCATTAAAGTTGTTCTGTGATTCAGGGACACCCAGACTAAACAAAAGTAATCCACAATGTACGCACCAGCTCTGTCAAACATATACATGCATTTTCTTTTCTTTTCTTCTCTCTTTAAGCACTGAAGAAAAAGGTCTTGTTTACCTCTAGCCTTACTAATCAAAATTGCTGTTGAACAGTGAACAGCTAACTGGGTTGAGCTGGAGGCTCTGATTAATTAGATTTGGTTTCTCAGGTCAGAGTTCCTGATGTTTTGTGCTACCACTATGTCTTTGGTGACAGCACCTTCTTTTCTACAGAAATACTAATCAGAGTTATTGTACAGTTCCAGGTAACAGCTTGTAGGCAGAAGCCACTGTGAAATATAAAAATAAATATGTACTGATAAACAAGTGATGGCCAAATCTGTCACTGATAAGAGAGAAGAGCAGCAGCAGAATTACAAGTCCTTATATAAGGGAAAGAATTCCATAATAACTCACTAGGGAACGACCCATTTCTGCCTTTCACCTAAAAATGCACAAGCATTCAAAATAGAAAATTCTCAGAACAACAAGCCCAAGAACATTAGAACATTTTGTAACCTTCTACAGGATTTACAAAACGATGCATTAATATAGCAGCTCAGTGGGGAAAAAAAAGTCAGGTTATTCTATTTATTTTACAGAGAAGGAAACTGAGGCTCAGAGGGAATGTGAGTCATGGAGGATTTTGACAGACACTTTTTTTTTTCTTCTTTTTTTTTGGGGGGTGGGGGGAAGCTGAGATCCACTTCTCTCTACAAACTACAAACCAGCTGCCAGTTTAAATGGACATGCTTACTTGCATAAACTGTGTGAATGTAATAATAGTCATATGCAGAAATCGACACTTAAAAAATATTAGTTTAAATAGATATAATTTAATGTTTTCTCTCTCAGTATCAGTAATTCTAACTTTTATAGCTGTCATTTATCATTATCTCAAATCATTCCAATTCATTTGCAAACTAACTCTGACAGGTGTTATAGGATTACCTCTGTCTTGTCCTTTTCCAAACATTGGCCACCTGGGAACAACAATACTTGGATCACACATTTTAAACCTAAAAAAAAAAAAAAAATCACCTCCAAAGGATGCTGTTCTGTGATTCAAAAGAAGGAAAACCAATATCCATTCAGTTTATCCTTCTGAGCAAAGGTCACTATTATAGAAGGTCAAGCATGGATTTTCCTTAGAAGATCAATGCAAACACAGATAGATTGGATGCTAAACCATGGCAATATAAGAAGAAAAATACCATTTACAGATTGCTAATGAAAACATGCAGCTTCTACTGTGTTCAATATACTAGCAACAGAGATAAAACCCATTGTGCCAATGAAGTGACTGCAGCTGCACATTTTACTCTGTCTCTTCCACTTACAGTCATGCAAAAGAAAGAAGACTGAGAGAAAATGTCGCAAAGAAACCAAGCCATGGCTTGTGTAGAAATAAATTGCAGACGTACACTGAGATCTTTTCCTTTGGCTTAGTTTGTTATTGACAGACACAAAATGCTGAAATCTAAAATCTTATTCTAACCACATCTCCTGCAGTGCAGCAGCAGAGCACCCACATGCTATTCATAATTTACACCATGTTCTGTCGTAATTCAGGACAGCCTGTAGATAAGGAAACATCAAAATATCACAGTCATTTTTTACGTGCACTGTATTGTACCCAGAGAGGATTTGAAACACTTTAAAGGTGAGGTCCAATTAAAATTTTCAATTGGAAATCTCTTTTAAAATTCAATGCTTCATTTCTTTCTTGAGCGGAGAACAAGCCCTTCAGGATGTCAAATCTCATCACAGTTTCTCTTTCCTTTCCAAACCTTAGACACACAGTTTTTCTCAGGCTAACTAACATGCCTTTTTTTAGAAGGCATGGGTAAATTGTGAGAAGTATTTGAAAACAAAGTGTTTACCCCTTACAGCTAATTCAGCTGAAATTATTACTTTCTGTAGGGGTACTGCAGATTAGGAAATTGATCACAGCTGTTGATTTGTCATTTCTTTAACTTACAGCTTTTTATTCCCTTTTTTTTTTTTTTCTCATCCTAGGGGCTAGACTTTCCTGCTTTTTTTTTTTTTTTTTCTCTCCTGCAAACACTGCAGCTCTGTCCTGAGAATGAGAATTGAAGCCCCCTTTTCAGTTTTCATGGTTAATTCTCTGCATTTCCTACTAATTTGGAATATAATAATTTTATCACTTCTCCTCCCACTCCATGCCTGTGCTTCCAACAACAAGGGAACTGGCTCCACACTAGTCTGGTTTAGTCAGGGCACCTCACTGTGAGTCTGACAGTTCCTCCCAGTAGCTGGAGCACAGGGTCAAGAGAAACATTCTGACCCCTGGCAAAACAGCAGGTGTTTAGCATGACCTTGCATCTCAGAGCTATAACTCACCACTACCTGTTTGGTGGTCAGAAACTCCAAAATCTGTTAAAAAGGAAAGATTCAGTTCAATATCTCTCCGCAAAGATGGTATCTTGGAGTGCTATGGAAACAAAGAAATGTTCAATGCTATTCTGAAAACAAAATTTTCACAAATAGATACTTCACTGGAAACTTCAGAGGGCTAATCATTGTCAAATGTCAGGCAACTTTTTTAGTTTTGCAGCTTTAAACTTAAAAGCTTATTTTAAAAAGCCTTGTCCATAAAGAACACTTTAGGGACTAACACACTATTAGTGAAAACCACTTTTAGAAGTGATGATTTCTTCTATTTTGCTGTACATTGAGATCCAACAAAAGGGATTTTTATACCATGTTCATTCTCTGTGGAACATTTTAGCAGTTGCTTTTTATGTATTATCTTCCAAGGACCTTCTCTTGTTGTCGTTCTGAGTTTTTAAATGACTTTATGAAAAAAAGTTTAGTACTTTAACTAAGAGAGAAAATGCAAATAACTGTTGTAAATAGTACCTGCTATCAACACATGCCCTGACTTCTTTCCACCTTGCACTCTGTGACCTCAAAAGGCTATTTGTATAAAAAGAGGTATTACCACTGTATAGGAATCTGTTCTTTGTCTGCAAATGAGCTGACTTCTTGGCACTCAAAAATAGATGGAAACTTTCCCATGGTTTCACCTGGGACAACTTTCTCCTTTGTTACACTCTTCCTGCTCACCAAGTCATGCAAGGATCAGTCCCCAGCCATCACAGCGGACACAGCCACGGTGGAGGGAGGTTTCAGAGCACTTCTCTAAGTAGAGCCAGTTTTGATGCTGCCTTAGAGAGGACAGGAGGCTCAAAGTGACCAAAACAGCCATCTTCAATTTTTTTCTTGCCATTCCAAGACCTGTCAGGTTCCAGGGTATATGCAGATACCAGTTTTAAGGCATGTTATAAGGATAAATTCAGAAGTCTATAGATGACAGGTTAAAAACCATTGGACATGATTAGATAGGCAAAATTACTCAAAATCGTGAATTTTTCTACATGTGTTTACATTCCAAATTCCAGTTTCAGAGGAAAGAGCATACGGTACAGTGATCAGTAGAAAGAGTTTACAGGCATCTTCACCCACCATTACCTGGGTTCATTAGTAACCATTTAAACTGGTGGAAGTTTTGTATGAAGGAATTAATAAGAAAGGGTGAACACTATCATAAAAGGAAAAAAATTAGATTAGGAGACTGGCAAAAAAAGTAGCAACTAAAGACCCAATCTGATCAAATGTGCTGTAAATAGTTTTGTAATGGAATTCACATAAATATCCTTCCTCACAGCTATGCTGACTAGAAGTCAAGCTTCAGGCTCAAGAAAAAATAAAAGCTGTAGGCAGCTTATAACTAGAAAGTGAAAGCTTTGCTTAACAGCTTACATGATGACCTTCACAAAGACATTTGGTGCCTTTAAGCCCTATCAGCTGCTTTTTCTGTTGGTCAGGAACTCACCATGGTGTTCTCAGTCTCATTCTCAGCTTTCTTTGCCATGGAAATCTTGGTGAATTTAAGGAAGACACAGCCTCTGTTCAGCTGAGGTGCTGGCAGGGAAGGCAACTGGGCCCAGGCCTGAGGAGTTTCTCTGAGTTTCATTTTCAGTTCTGAAAGTGGCTACTTATATTTAAATATTTATTTATTTTCACCACATTGTTGAAATAAAATGAAGTGCTCCTCATGAGATTAAACTGTGCCACTGCTGAGCTCTCTCACTTCAGGAAATCTTGTTTGGATTTGGTATATGGCATCTATGCTGGGATGGCTGCCCTTTCCTGAGAGATGAGTTTCTACTTGCTGAGGGGAAGCAAATCAATGCTCACATTAGGAGACTGATGAAATTGTTTCTTCCTTGAAGTCTCTGTTGCACCTGGGAGTCAGTCACGATTTTTGTCCTTGCTATCATTTTGCTGCAAAAGACTATCAGGGTTCATGGATAAAACCTATGGGATTGCCCACATAATATCTTATTAACTGTCCAGGACAAGAGCAGGTAAGATATACTTCTTAGTGGTTCCCTGGGTTT